AATCTACTTGAGTACAGTAACGAAGTACAAATACTTCGTTACTTCCCATCTCTGCCCGTGGGTAAAAAAATCACTCAAAAATAAATTGGCGGTAAATGAATAAAAAAAAAAATTGAAATCCCCGTTTGTCAACCAATGGTACCAAAGGAGCGCTCTGAAACTACTGTAACAGTATTAGCCAATCAGGAGAAGAAGGGGGCGGGTCTTTGGAAAGCGTGTACTTCCTCCTCTCGTTTCTTACTCAAGTTGCCAGATAGATTGTGGTACAGTGCAGAAGGGAAAGACACTTTACACCGTTTAAGGCTGCATTTAACGAAGAGACTTGTTAAAAGTAAAAAAATAGATAAATTAAACTTTGTGTTTGGAGAGAAGAGCGATAGAGAGAACAGAATTGCATGGAGTGGGCACAATGCAGTTCATAAACTCCGGCACACTGTGCTCCAGGAAGCTTATTTACGCATCAAGTGGCAAAAAGGTGCTACGCAAATATGAATTAGACCCTGGTCATCAAGCTGCTCTTCACACGGTCGCGCACCCTACACGTTTGCCGGGAACTACGGCAACAGCTGAAGTACCAGCGTCAATAACTGACCGTGTATGCAAGTTAAAAATAAGCGTTTGTGCTTTCCTCGCCGAACACAGCCTCTCATTCACACTAGATATAGATGCACTTTTACCGTCTTCTGGACGTTTTTGGTATTAGATTGTCAAAATTCAAATTTAGTCTTCAATCAGTCATGCAATCTCTGATTCCACCGCATTAAAGCACTGCGACATATAACATAGGCATATGAAATATAGAACTCACAAATTACATTCTTGTAGGAATCAGAATTTTATGTTTTACAAAATGCACAGGTTTTACAGTGAGAACCACAAAAAAAGGACTATAAATAAGCCAATATGAAAATAAATTAATAAAAAGAAACAATGTGACAACCATTTCAAATCTATCCTGGGCAATTCGATCCCATGTAGATGGAGCCTAAAGCACTTATTAATAATCTTAGGAGAAAATTTAATACTCAGGGGTATATTTTTTTACTTTCATTTCTTCAGTATTCTGATTTTACAGATTGTTCTGATGAAGGAATTATTGATCAACTTTATCTTGCTTTGCCAAAATTACATTATTTTTATATATATA